AAAAAAAAAAACAGAAAAAAAGTCTAATTTATACATTCAATCTAATAATATTATAAATATAACTATCAAATTCTGTCATACTTGATAAGCTATTTCCAACATCAAAGCGAGTAATATATTCATTACCAATAGAAACCTAAGAACCTCTAAGAACTTCTTCACTCTGAAAAATGGTTTCTTTCGTACATAGCTAATTCAAACTAAAATTAGCTACCAGGGCATTCCTTCACTATAACTCAAAGGCACCATCTTTTCTCAATACTTGCAGGAAATCCCACATTATTATGAAGGTGGACATAATCTTAGTATAAATTTTAGTGTGCCATAGATTATGAATGCTACCTTAGGTTACACTAGTCATTTATTTCAAGCATGTACAACCAATATACAGACACTGCCATTCATTTAGTATTTATAAATCAATGCTTACCATTAGAGAGATTCCATTCCCAGATCAGGTCTTCTATACTGATTAAAGGCAACTGTAAAAATTGAGGTAAATTCCCTCCGTAAAGGATTTAGTTGTATCCAAAACGTTTTAATTTACTGAACATAAAAGACATGCAAGGTCCATAATTTTCTTATGTGGCCTAAAAAGACCCAACTATTTCCACACACCTTCAGATAAACAAGACATAGTAAAGTAAACAGAGTTCCACGTGTGACTCAGCACAGCCAGTCTTGCCTCTCCTTACATTTAACATTTTTAACCAGCAACAGTTAACACATGAAATGAAGGTCAGGAATCAGAAACAAGCATCACAATCATTTTATCCTCAGAAGGTACCTTGAAGAAATTGCATGGCAGGGTTCACCTCACTCACAATAATCTCAAGACCAGAAAAATTTAGCCGTCTCACTCTTACTTCAACAAAAATCAACAAAGAAAAACATGCACAACAATAATTCAATTTCATTGCTCTGTGTATTTATTTTAGCTATAATTAATTAATGCAGAAAGAGGGGGTAAAAGCTCACAGACTACACAATTGCACAAGAAGCATTGCAGGGTAAAGAAAGGTTGACATTTATCAATAATATCTTAGGGTCTTGGTGGACGCATTCCTGGGGGAGGTGGACCTGGAAAGGAAAAATAACAAGATTCCATAAAAATTATTAAGAGCATATAGATAATCAAGTACCTGGCTGTCATGCCCAACCTCATACCAAAATGCTAACCTCTAATTCCTGGTGGAGGGGGTCTCATTCCTGGAGGGGGCATGCCTATAGGTGTTCCTCGAGCAGGGGGAAGGCCAATTGGTGGGCCCATGGGTGGTCTCATACCAGGTGGAGGGGCCATAATTCCTATAAAAGAAAAAATAGAATGTAAGTCTTCATAAGTCAGCTCAGAAAAGGTTTTATAATTTACCACAAAATGGTAAAAGAAATGAGCCAATAATGACAGTGATTTTTCCTTGCCTAAAATACCTACATGCAACCATAATTCAAAAGAATCTATAACATTTCATTTAAAACAAGTAATTCTACATAGTCTCTAAATTCCTCCCAAGGCATTCACACTATATCTAACTCATTATCATATTCACAACACTTCAATATATAACTTCCTCAAGATGACATACTCAAACCATTATGACCAATCATAAATCTCTTACCTGGAGGTGGGGTTGCTCTGCCTACAGGGGGTGGTGGTGTTCCCCGTCCTGGTGGGTACTGGGTTGGGGCTCCAGCAATGCTGGCAGTAGCAGCAACAGCAGCAGCTGCAACAGTGCCTCTTCCCTGTGGAGTCATTACCTGAGAAGGTATGCCAGGAAGGCAGTAGAAAGATGAGCGATAGTCTCTCATTTTCAAACTTAGAAAAGTTGCTGGTTAATATGCCCCCATTAGATATATAATTACTATATTCAGAACTTATCTCGCCCTATTTTTGTGGCATTGAAGATAAAATCCAGAAATATATGAATGCCAAGCATACCTTACCACTCAGTTACATCCCTAGGCTCTCAGTCCTAAGTTTTTAAGCCTTGAAATATTATCATTTTATAAATTCTTTGGCTTTTTCTCAACTCCAGAATATTCATGTGTGTTTTCATTACTTTCCAGATAAAGGTTTATAACAGACATTTTGAGTAGAAATATTAGCACCCTCCCTCTGCATGTCTGACTATCAGTTCCTTCTAGAGTACTCTGAAATTTAAATAGTACAGGGTATACATTTGCTTCCACATCTCCTTGGCCCCATTAATTTTAAACATCTTCTGCTACATTACCTGCTGGGATGGACCTCCAACTCCTCGGACAGGGCCTGCTAATCCAGCAGGGGCCTGGGGAATAGGTACACCAGCTGGTACTCCTCTGCCAGCTGCCCTTCCAACCCCAGGACCTCCTGCAGCACCAGCGAGTGGCACCCGAGCAATGCCAGTCTGAAACAAGAAAATTTATAGCTTAGACCATATGGCATATCCAAGTTCTGAGCAATTTTGTTCAACGATAAAGTCTGTCTATTCTTTCCCAATGTGCATGTCTCGTATTATCTTTATATTCAACGAAAAATGAGCTGGTGTATCATAAGCACCCTTCAGATTTCTAATATGTAGGTATATTTCAAATTGTTAGGATACATACTTCTAACCATAGCAATTAGAAAGACATCAACTCCTATAATAAGGACAGAAGGACTCATCCAAACTCCATAATTCCTAAGGGTACAGTTGATCTAAGAACTGGTGTCAAGAACGGGCATAGTTTATTTTACTAAAGTATACTCTTTTGTACCTCTATTTGTACACTGACCTCAATCAACTCAAATAATGAAATTCTCTTCCATATTAAAGTTCTATCCTTTATGTATAAATTTAAAAACTCACAAAACATAAAAAAGCACCTGCCCTATATCACCCTTACATCTTTAGGTGGTGGACCCTCCACAGTCATGGATACCAAATTTTCCCCACGCAGCAACACCAGTCCTAAAACCCGTTTTTCTTCACGCTCTGGCTGTTTTGCATTCTTTGGCCTGTAAATCAGAAGTAAACTTCAGTGAAAAACATTCTAGTGATCCTTATGCAACAAAAGTATCATTTAAGACAAAAACTGATGCTAAGCTTAGCATGTAAACCGTAATAAGTTGCCATGTCACCCTAAAACACTATTTACTATTTATCATGTATAAATAGTAAAATTCTTTTTCTTTGAATGTTCTCTTGATAGTATACAAACATTACCTAAAATGAATTTCCCTTGCCAAATATAAATGAAAATGACATGGAAAAGACCACTAAGACAGACAAAATGGAAGCCTCAATTTATATGCTAATGTGGTAAATAAACTTATTCAAATGATTTTTAACTAAATACCGAGAGAACTGATTTACAACGTACAGTTTTATTCCAACTAGTCTACATAGGTTTTTTGCCAACTTATCATTTGGATGCACTGACTTTAACATTGAGGATCTATCTGACAATAGATGAAGCCAATAGGTTAGATATTAGACTGACCACACCAGACTTTCTGTACCTGCTTCAGGCACTGTGTGATCCTCTCTTCAGCCCCAGCCTCATCTTGTTACTGCCTTTGCCTCCCACATCCATTAACCAAACCAGCCTTACTTACTTGATCTTCCTGAACTCATCACAATCACAGAGGATCAAATTCATATGCTTGTCAAATGCCTTAAAGGTGCCAATGAAGATTCGGCCGTCCTGCAGGATGCATCTCATTCTGTAGTCAATGTGCTGCAGCATCTTGCTACTCTTACCCACAGTCTGTAAGAAAGAAAAGAACAATGATGAGTTCACTGTCTAAAGTCTAGTTTTCTAACTTTACCTGGTTTATTCCCTAAATCTATACCAGGTCTCTTATAGTAAGTCTCCCTTTATCCCTAAATATTGAAGCGCAAAATTTTGACTAACGATCACTATACTTCTCTAAAAATCTCTGTAATTTTCAGAATCCTAGTCAGTTTTCCTAGTCAGAACACTCTTCCTAAGACATAAAGCCTTTAACCTAGTTCTTCTTTACAGCTGCCATCCTAATTTCCTTGTTCCCTTCCCCAAGTTACAAACTTCCTCCAGAACATTTGATCCTGTGAAGTATTTTTATCATCCTAAACCACCTCAATCAAACCCACAAATTCCACCAACCCAAAGAAAACCTAATGAGTCATTAGCTCTCCAAAGGGCTTCTAGACTCATCACAGCCATATCACTAATATTCAAAACTTCAGTGTTTTTTTTTTTTTTGAGTCAGGATAGCATGTAGCCCTGGCAGAATTCAAACTTCTTAGAACTGGTAACTTGGAGTTCTTGATCTTCCTGTCTCTATCTCAAAAATACTGAGATTATAGGCATGAGTCATCATACTCAGCTGAAAACCTGACACTTTTCTAGACCTTTACATTCTTTGTTTAGTTCCCTCATGACACCATTATCCTAATTACTCACCCATAAGAGATTTTAATAAGATATTCTGTATTTTTGTTAATGCAACATGACCTTCTGTATGATGTTACAGAATTAGTAAATTCTTTTTCATATCTCAATAACCAATGTTCATGTACCCTCTTTATGCATGGCATCCTTTGCTTTAAGAATTCATCTTCTAGACTGTCAGAATCATAGCACTGCAGTTAGGATGTGCCATGTATCCAAATTTGCTGCTCTATGTTACTAACACAAAAGCTGCTATTTCTCCATTAGTCTATAAATCTTCAGTTTGACCTAGGAAATGTCTGTCTACACCACGATCCTTTCCTAGAAACTACTTTTTAACTTTCTTATGATAAGACATCTCTCAGTAATATTTCCAAAGCTGTTGGCCACTATTAATAAGAAATCAACAATGGTAAGTCAACACATTTTGTTATTCAATGGAATGAGCATCCATCTCCATAAATGAATCCTTTCTAGATTTTAGAACTCAAAACACCTACATACTGAAATTATGGTTCAAGGCCATTACAGCAGCTAAACAATCTTTTGTTTTAATGTACATACATCTTACCATGATTGCTGGTCCACAATAGCTGGTATCAACAGTAAAATTTCAAGATCCTTAATACCTAGGGGAGGGCTATAAATAAAGGTGCGATGCAGGTTCTCTTAGAAACAATGTAAGCTTGGCAGAAGCTTCACAAACAATCGATGGGTTCTGCAGAAGAAAGCATGTTACAGCTGCACTTCAATATTCTCTTGTTAAAACAAGACAATTTTCAAACAATATTACTTCATATATATCCTCTCATGCTCCAATATCTACCTAAGAACACATTTCACTTTTCCTTAATGTTAACACTCATTTGACCCATCTAGATTCATGAAACCTGTTGGATTTTATTCCTAGGAATTCTTGTGTGTGCTATGTGTATGTATATTTGTTTTGTGTGTTCACATACATGTATTTGGAGATGAGATGTTTTAATCAAGTAACTTCCTCCTTGATTTTTCTTGGCTGGGCTGGTCAGTGAGATTCAGAGATCCAGTTGTTTCTGGCACCCTAGCACTGGGTTTACACAAACAGGTTGCTGTTCTCTGCTTTTTACATGGATTCTAGAAAACTCAGATACTTGCAACGCAAGCACTTTACCGGACATTCCCCCCAACTTCCAATAAGAATTCTTAAAATGTCAAAATAGCCATTATTTTATCCATTCCCAAAATTTACATACCTATCTCATTTACTTTTTGGCTGAAGATAAAAATGTCTTCCAACTATATGTTACCATTTTTTTCCCTAAATTCTCCCCAAAATGATGACAGGCAGGTAATCTTTCTTCCCAAAGAACCAAGTATATCATTAATTAAATAACCTCTAGAAGCCGAGCACTCTAGCATATGGTTATAATTCTATTGGGGAGGCTGAGGCAGGAAGATTTCAATTTCAGTGACTACCTGGGTGGCAGAGACAGGTCAAGGAAAGGCTGAGCAAGTTAGAATATCTCAAAAGTAAAAGTGTTAGTAAAACATAATAAAGTGCTGGATATATAGCTCATTGGTAGAGAATCGGCCTAGTTCAAGGCCCTGGTTGAAGCCTTGGAATATGAAAAAAAAAAAAATTTTATGGAGTCAAATCTAGCCATTATTGTACAAGGTCTCAAACTGCTGGAGATACTAATTACATGTCAAACATTAAATTTTGCTTTGGTTCTGTTTGCTTGCATGTATCTCAGCCTTTCCTAGAACTCAGGTTATGTAGCCTAAACTAGCTAAGAACTTGAGATCCTCTTGTCTCGGCCTCCTGAATGCTAGGATTACAGGCTGCCCTGTTCAGATTCTTGTATTCATAAAAGAGAATTTGAAATTAACCATAAAATATGTCAGAGTCAACAGGTGGGGTAGGGCACGCCTTTAATTCCAGTACTCAGGAGGCAGAGGCAGGCAGATCTCTGAGAGATCGATGTCAGCCTGGTATACACAGTAAGTTCCTGGCCAGCTGGGGCTTCAAGGAGACCCTGTCTCAAAAAGAAAAACAAACAAAAAGTACCAGAGTAAATTTATTTATGTGACTTTTTCATGTGTGTGTGTGCGTGTGCATGTGTGCATGCATGCGTGTGTGCGTGTGTGATATAGGATTACAAAGTCCTACCTGGCCCTGAACTTGCAAATCTCTTTGCTCAGTCCCTAGTTGAGGGAATTTATAGGCACTAGGCACTGCCACAGTTGGTATAACTATTTCAATAGTACAAACATTTTCTTCACTGTATTTAGTGGCTAAAGTTTTGAAACAGCAAAGGTAAATGGCTATATAATTTATATTGAGTGATGTAGATCAATCCCACGCCTCATGCAATCTAGTCAAGTGTTCGAACAATGAACCCCAGCAGCTGTTTAAGTAAATTTGTCTACGTCAGTATATGGAAATGAAATCATTACAGAACATTAGAAGAAAATTTTGAGCTCTCCAATTCCATATGGAATTGTGTTGTTTGATCACAATAATTTGAAAGTATACTTGATTCAAATAAGTTATCAGACTATAGAAGAAATGTTTCTATTTTCGAGATTATATTTTTGAGACAGGGCTTCACTATTTCACGGACTGGCCTTGAATTTGCAATCCTTGTGCCATCCTAATTAATTGGGACTTTAGTCAAGTACCCTAGCATTCAATATTTATGAAATCCTTCACTTAAATATATTCTATGAGAAATTGACTAGATTGTCTAGAAATTTAAAATCATTATTCATCACACATTGCAACCTGTATTCCACATATAATTTGGCAACTTTCCTTGAAAAGGAAAACTTAGTGTCACTTTCCTTGAAAAGAATCCACCCAGTTCCTCAATGCAATGAACATACCATTCTTTGAAACTGACTCATACAAGCATACACCTCTTTTCACCCATCTAACTTATGTTCTCAAAGGGCACAGCAATAACATGAAGAATAATATTAATACCTGATACCCATCAGGGATACAGTATTTGTACACAAATTAGACATAAATTATAGACACTTTCACATAAAGATATAAAAAGTATTCAAGGGGGCTGAAGAGATGGCTCAGTGGTTAAAGGCACTTTCTGTTCTTATAGGACCTAGGTTCTGTTCTCAGCACCTATGTTGGGTAGCTGGTAACAACCTGGAACTCCAGCTCCAGGGGATTCCACACTATCTTTTGACCTCCTTCGGTACATGCACATAGAGCATATACCCACATACAGATACACACACACACACACACACACACACACACACACACACACACAAATTTTTAAGTATACAAACGAGCAAAATGAATATACACACCCAAAATCAATGTTTCTAATCCCACATACTAAGAAAAGGTCAAGGCCTAAATCAGAATGCCCTGAATAGTCATAGGACTAGTCATAAAGTAATCTAAACCCAGGAATATTGGGTATAATATTGCATCTACATCTATTAATACTAGAGAGTGCAAGTGTCTACAAAGGCCAAAGTAGATCAGGGGCTGAAAATGTGCATGATAGCTGACACTGCAGGGACACAAACATTTCCAAAATATTTTGTGGTGCTGATATCATAGTTCTATCAAATTATAAGTCACTGTGCTACAAAGGAAAACTATCTCAAAAAATTTAAAAAATATGGGGCTGGTGAGATGGATGACTCAGCAGTTAATAGCACTGGCAGCTCTTGAAGAGCATGGGGCTTTGGTTTGCAACTCCCACATAGCAACTTATGACCATTTGTACCTCCAGTTTCAAGAGACCCAGTGCCCTCTGTGGGCCTCTATGGGAACTTCATACATGTGTTGCACATACATACATGTAAACAAGATACTCATAAACATACATAAAAATAAACATTTTTTTAAGTACAAAAAAATAAGAATATAAAGTTGCTTTAAAAAATGTAAAATTCCAGGCTGAGATTGGTAGCACACATCCGTGAGGAGGTGGAAACAGTGGATCAAGAGTCAATGCCAACCTAAGCTGCTTTGGAAATCAGAATAATCCCAAACAAAAACCAAACAAAAAAAAACATAATTTCAAATGGTTGATGGTAGATCAGTGGTAGAGTCCTTGCCTATATCTAAGGCCCTAGATTCAACCCTCAGTACCTCACAAAAAAATCAAATCAATAAGTATAATAAAATAAAGTCAAAATGTCAAGCAACGTACAGAGCTGTTAAGATTACTTTTAGAACAACGGAAACATGTAACTTATTAAGACACCATTCTAAGCCATGACATAAAAAGTTCTAGGCTAGTCTAGGCTCAATAAAATGATCCTATTTCAGAAACTCAAAACAACCTACACATCCATGCTACTGAGGCACTATCAACAACAACTCAATTATGAAATCAGGCATAATGTCCTTCAACAGATGAATAGAATGCTTATTTTTTGTTTGTTTCAGAGATATAAATTGAGACAAATTATTAAACAAAAGAAAAAGATACACTTTATAATGTGAGCTCTTGCCAGAACAGATTTAAAATTCCCAGTTCTCTAATGGTAGTTTATACAGCACCTACCTTCTCCCCATCTCAGTCTTTGCTTATACATGCTGTTTTGTCACATGTTCTCTACAGCCAGAGAGGTTTCCAGCCTTCCTATGCACACCCAGCTTTTTTTTTTTTTTATTAATTTTGATGTAGCTGTCTGTGCCCCTATTCTCTTGCTACCTGGCATCTGTCACTTAGTGTAAGCTGAGGTATCCACACTCAAGAGAATTGAGTCTCACTGGGGTTCAACTTGGCTTGGTCTCCCCTGTTTACTTGGCCTATTGGAATTACTATCAGTTCATCTGTTCCTGCTACCTGCCATTCTTCCAACTGTTCCTTCATCTGGATGCAGTCTTGACCTTTACTCTAAGGTCTTTACAAGGTATAAGCATTACTATACACATGCACTTAGGCCTTAAGCATAATTTATTGCTATTTTCATTCTATTAAATATGTCATTATGAAAAATAATATTTTCTCTATGTGTATATAAGACTTCAGTCAATTTTGAGTCAAAATTCTCAATGCTCAGCTGGTGAAAACTTGAATCAGACTCCCAGGCAAGGGAGTCCTTGCCCTTTCCTTTTTTAAAAAAAATTTATTATTTTTATTTTATGTATATGAGTATACTGCCTGCATATGTGTAAGTGTACTTGTGTTGTGCAATGCCTGTGGTGGTCAGAAGATGGTGTCAGATTCCCCTGGAACTGGAGTTATTGATGATTGTCAGCTGCCAGGAGGGTGCTGGGAATTGAACCCGGGTCCTCCACAAGAGCTGCCGGTGCTCTTAAATACTAAACCATTTCTCCAGTCCCTTCCCTATCCCTTTTAATTTTTGTCTTTCTATGCTGTCTCATTAGCACTTTAACTTAATGTTCCCTGTACAAGTAAAATAAAGCACTCACCTAGCTTTGGGTTCCCCTCTTCTGGTTTTACCGCTTTAACACTCTCTGTGGTTCAATTTTTTTAACTCTTTAACTTGCCTGTTTCTTTTCTTTTCCTCATTTCTCTGCTTCCCTCTTGTTTCGCTGTCTCTTCTGTCCCATTTCATACAAAGCACTCTACAACCACCTGTGGGCCCATCCCTGCCTTTGATTCTAAACTTTCTTACTGCTTCCTAGATACAATAGGATATTATAACTCCACATACTCCTCCTCTTTGCTTCAAGTTTTCCTTTCTGGTCTCCGAAGAGGGGAACTAGTGGCTTGTATCTTC